GAAATTTCTCCATTTGGATTGAAATTCGATTTGAACTGAAGGTAAAGTCTTTATTTTCTTGAGTTCTGAAATGACACATAGTGCGATACAGTCAAAATAAGGTATTAGACTACGAAAGCTATAGATACCTCATAAACAGGTAGACTGTTAACCGGATTCTCTATCTTTAATAGGTTTCTGTTCGTTATATTATAGAATAACAAAACAAGATGATTAGAAATCCTTTATTTTTTAACCTAATCGCTCTTTTGATTTTGGAAATATATATATTTTTTATCAATATACTGTTGAGTATTGTCCAACAAATTGTTTGTCAATGACTGAAGAATATGAATTTTCCACTTATGATCGTCACGAATTGAATTATAATCAAATAGCTTTGGGTCGTTTACCAATGTCAGTAATTGACGATTACACTATTCGAACAATTTGGAATTCACCTCAAACAAAAAATGGGGTAAACCCTTTAATTTGATTAAAAAAAGAATTCCAAATTGTTGAATTATATAAAGAATTTAATTAAAAACTTGTATTTATATAATAATATTAAGTATTAAGGCACATTCTTTTAATATAATATGTTCGTAATTACTTTCTTGAAATAGATAGGTTGAAAATACACTTTAGAATAAAAAAAGAGAAACTGTCTAATAATTGTATCTACATCAATTCATATACATTAGATTCTAATTTCACTCTATTAGAAACATATAAAAAAAAAATTTCCTGGTTAAATTAATAAGGTCATGAAAAGGATTTCGATTTTTTTCTTATTTTAATAATATAATGGATTTGCCTGGACCAATACATGATTTTCTTTTAGTTTTTCTGGGATCCGGTCTTCTAGTAGGAGGTCTGGGAGTGGTATTCCTTCCCAACCCAATATTTTCAGCCTTTTCCTTAGGATTTGTTCTTGTTTGTATATCTTTATTGTATATTCTATCAAATTCCCATTTTGTAGCTGCTGCACAACTCCTTATTTATGTGGGGGCCATAAATGTTTTAATCATATTTGCTGTGATGTTCATGAATGATTCAGAATATTCCACAGATTTCAATCTGTGGACCGTTGGGAATGGGATTACTTCGTTGGTTTGTACAACTATTCTTTTTTTATTAATGTCTACTATTCTCGATACGTCATGGTACGGGGTTATTTGGACTACAAAATTAAACCAGATTCTAGAGCAAGATTTAATAAGTAATAGTCAACAAATAGGAATTCATTTATCAACAGATTTTTTTCTGCCATTTGAACTAATTTCAATAATTCTTTTAGTTGCTTTGATAGGTGCAATTTCTGTGGCTCGTCAATAAAAAATGTTCTAAATTTTTCCGTTCATTCAATTAAATTTGATTGAATACTATTTCATATTTTAAGGATCAATTTTTATATTTGATATATATTTAAAATTTGTTTTACCTAAATATTGTTTTTATTCGTACTTTTTTGTTATATTCTAGTTGATGGAATCCGGTGAATTATTTTTCATATTGAAATGAATCAAAATTGATAAGGAGTTGCTGAATGATACTCGAACATGTACTTGTTTTGAGTGCCTATTTATTTTTGATTGGTCTTTATGGATTGATCACGAGTCGAAATATGGTTAGGGCTCTTATGTGTCTTGAACTTATACTCAATGCAGTTAATATGAATTTCGTAACATTTTCTGATTTTTTTGATAATTCCCAACTAAAAGGGGAAATTTTCTGCATTTTTGTTATAGCAATTGCAGCCGCTGAAGCTGCTATTGGATTAGCTATAGTCTCGTCAATTTATCGTAACAGAAAATCAACTCGCATAAACCAATCGACCTTATTAAATAAGTAACATAACTAAAAAAATTATAGATTGAAATTTGCATATATGATAAGTTATGACCTACGAGATTATATTTGTAAAAATCTAAGAAATCAAAGTATTTTAGCCCCATTTTTTATCAATTGAGCCAGAATTCATTACAAAAATTCTATTAAAGGAAATCATTGCTTCATCTAGTATTTTAATATACCATTCAGTTAAAAGTTTACTAGATTGAAAATTTATGACATTAAAAAAACTATCGATCCTATGTCACATTCAGTAAATATTTATGATACCTGTATAGGATGTACTCAATGTGTCCGAGCATGCCCTACAGACGTATTAGAAATGATACCTTGGGATGGATGTAAAGCTAAGCAAATAGCTTCTGGTCCAAGAACCGAGGACTGTGTTGGTTGTAAAAGATGTGAATCCGCCTGTCCAACGGATTTTTTGAGCGTTCGAGTTTATTTATGGCATGAAACAACTCGAAGTATGGGTCTAGCTTATTGATGCGTTACCGAAAACCTCATTTGAATAAATTTGGAATACATTTTATTTTTTTTTATTGACAAGTACTCGTACTCAAAAAAGTTAAATTATATTTTTTTATTTATATATTTTTTTTGAGTACGCGTTCCTTGGACCTGGTGTATCTTGTCTTTACCACGAATGATTTTCCTTGGTTAACAA